TGTTTTTGAAGAAACCAAGACCTAGAAAATTGGAGTTTTGTGTACATGTTTTCCTAGACTGTTAAATAAAATATGGGATGATGTTGGTTACAGAGTTTGGCTAATAGTAGCTTCCACTGGCTGATTTCTCACAGATGTGCCAGGGTTTTATTATACAGAATACTCACATCGTGTTTCAGCCAGTTCTTGCAACCACACTCATTTTTACATACGGGAGAACTGAGGGTTAAGGGAGTTGTTACACTTTGCCCGAGATCTCAAGCCAGTTTTCTTTCTCTTACACTGAGTTGACACTAGTTTTTTGTTTTGTTTTGTTTTGTTTTGTTTTCATTAATTTGATACTTTAAAAATAAATTACTTGCCCTGGCCGGTTTGGCTCAGCGGTTAGAGCGTCGGCCTGTGGTCTGGAGAGACCCGGGTTCGGTTCCCGCTAAGGGCACGTATTTCGGTTGCAGTTTGTCCCCGGCCCTGGTTGGTCGTGCGGGTGGCAGCCACTCGATGTGTCCCTTCACGTCGATGTTTCTCTCCCTCTCTCTCCCTCCCACTCTATCTGTTCAAAAATTGGAAAAATGTCCTAGGGTGAGGATAAAAATAATAATAATAATAAAATTAAATAAAATAAATAAATAAATAAATAAATTACTTTATGAATCATTTACTTGACCAGAGGAGTGAATATGATAAGAATGTCTTCATGTTTCTTTCTGGAAGAATGTTTCTTGTAGTAATAATAATAACCACTGACAAAGTGCTTTTATTTCCAGACACTTGTGTCTCAGCTTTCCTATCAGGCCTCTTGCTCAGTGAGGAAAGGCTTGTCCTCCCAACTCCACATTCCTGCTGCTCTGGACTTGACAGGTCATGGGCTCCCTCTACTGGTAGTTAACTGTGACTTTGTTACTTCATTTAAGTAATTAGTATTTATTGACCCAGTCCAAGTGGACTGAGGAATGTGGATATAAACCAGATACAGTCTTTGTAGTGAAGAGATGATAGGATTTATAAATGTATTGCTATAATATACAAGGTGGAGATCAGTGAATACTAGGCAAAGGGAACAAAAAATTCCACAGATGTTTAGAGGTCAGAGTGTTTTACTGCATCTGGGATATTAGGAAAGGCTTCGTGGAAGATTTGACATTTATCTGGATCTGAAGGGGTGAGTGAGATTTGGCTGTGGCAGTCCAGGGATGGGTAGGAAGAGGATCAGCACCCCTGCTGGAGGGAGCCATGCTGCAGAGGTAGGTGCTGGTGAGGAAGGCAGAGCCCTGTGCGAACACAGGGAGAGCTCTCCTTTCCATTCCATCAGGACAGGGTCTGTGCGACGGAAGAGCTCCCTTAGGGTCAGAGTGGCACTTTCCAGCCTTGGTGGCAGTGAGGAACATAAAGGGAAGAAAGTTGAACCAGGGTCATTTAGGTGATTATTGCCACATGTTGGCCATGGCTCCAGGGGGAAAGTCACTGAGAAGTGGCCAGAAGCCCAGCCACCCCCACTCCTGTGTGCACACAGTGTGACAGAGGTTGCTCCCGGTCAGTTCAGTGTCCCTTACTAAGTGACCTTTCCTGGATCCCAGTGTGGTCTACTGCATGAGGGGTACGAGGACTCCGGCCTGGGCCACAGGCAGTCTTAAAAGTCTGCACACTTGACTCAGACCCAGGGGCTTCCATGCCCTCTTCCCCAACTCCCCTTGTGAAGCAGGGCAAACCAGTGAGAAAGAAGGAAAATGTTTGCACCTTCTTTTACAGCAGAACTCCTCCAGCCCCACCCACCAGTAAGAGACAGGCTGAGGCCCATCTTACTACACTGGTCCTGTAGGAGAAGAAGGGCTTACTAGACAAGAAATCTAAATAGAAATCAGGAGAAATAACCCAACCTAGAACTTGTTTCCTAGACTCAGAACTGAAGCCTTAAAAAATATATATATATATATATATATAATTGATTTTTAGAGAGGAGGGGGAGAGAGAGAGAGAGAGAGAAAAACATCCATAGGCTGCCTCCTGCACCACCCCCTACCAGGGATCGAGTCCAAAACCTGGGCATGTTCCCTGACCTGGAATCGAACCAGCGACCTTTTGGTGCATGGGACAGTGCCCAACCAACTGAGCCACACTGGCCAGGGCAGAAACCTTGTCATTCTACACACTAAAAGCTCAACCCACCTCTTTGCTCCAAGGCCTAAGACATACCTGTATCCTGGCGCTGGCCTTCAGGAAAGACTGGGAGTGGGATCTTGTGCTGCCTCTGCTTGTGGGAATAGGGAATGGAGAGGCAGAGGAGGGGCACGGGAAAGTCAGGGACCATGGAGGTCAAATCAGTTAGACAAGGAAAGAGTTGCCCAGGGTTTGAGTATTAACTGCCTTTGCCTTCTCTCTGTCACCGCTGGAGGTGTCTAGCAGACATCTCAACCTCAGTTTGTCCCATGTTGAACTCCTGATCTCATCTTCTGTCTGCTCCGCTCATAGCATGCCCACCTAAACAATGATAATCTAGTTGCTCAGGCCAGAAACCTAGTCATCCCTGATTTCACACCTTATCTCCAGTCCTGCAGGAAATCCCAGAGGCTTCACCTTCAAAATGCATTGTGACCTGCCCTGTAGCCATTCTGGTCTAAGCCATCTCTCACCTGCATTACTGTAATAGCTGTCTCCCTGATTCCTTCCTTGCCTTCTTCGTCTGTTCTAAACTCAGTAACTAGAGTGACCTTTTAAAAACATGAGTCAGATCATGTCACTTTTCTTCTCATAACCCTGAATGGCTGGCTCCCCATTGTCCCTCAGGGTGAAAGCCAGAGTCCTTACAAACTGACTTTGCTATTCCTCATACCTATCAGGCGTACTGCCATATGGCCTTTGCATGGGCTGTTCCCTCTGTCCAGAATGCTCTTTTCCTACACATCCACAGCGCTTCCCCTCCTCCACTGTAATACTGGCAGTGATCTCCTTTGATTTGGTGTCTTGGAGATTATCACATGGTTTAGGGCAGAGAAACAGATCCTCTTATGGAAGCATATAAGCCTTCTCGTTTAAAGATTAACTAGAATGAAACTGCTGTTAGCTTTTAAAGACAGTGGGGACTGCAGAGAGGGCTGTATGGTACATTTTATTTTCAACTGAGGACTACATTTTTCTGAGAGCATATCAGAGACGGGCTGGCAGGGATGGGATCACTGACTCAGCATGTACAAGGTTCGTACTCCTCCATTTGGGGAAAGTTGAAGGCATTCTTATTTAAAAGATCAATGCAGCCCTGGCCAGTTTGGCTCAGCTGTTAAAGCATCGGCCCACGGACCAAAGAGTCACAGGTTCAATTCTGGACAAGAGCATGTACCTCGGTTGTGGTTGGCCCCTGGCCCTGGATAGGGTTGTGCAGGAGGCAACCAGTCGATGTGGCTCTATCACATCAACGTTTCTCTCTGTCTCTCTCCCTCCTTTCCACTCTGTCTGAAGATAAATGGAAAAAATATCCTCGGGTGAGGATTAAAAAAAAAGATCAGTGGAGAAAGTGTTTAAGGAATGTCTGGTGTAATTTTTTTTTTTTTATGTGTATAATCATTTGGTAATTTTGAGCCTTGATTATACTGAAAATCTATAAACAATGACATGTCTACATTTTTCTGTTTTCATTGATTATTCTTTGGATGTTTATTCTCTTTATTGTCACAATATTTTTCTACAAAAGTAATAGCTTCATAATTTGGTAGACAGAGCATAGATTTTGAGATCAGAGGACATTCATTTTTATTCTCTTTCATTACACTACTGGCAATATTAGCATGGACAAATTACTTAGTTTTTGTTTCTCCATTTTGTTGTCTGTAAAATGAATGTTCTAATTCTGCCTTTAGGGTTCCTATTAGGCTCAGATGTGGTCACACACCCGTAAGTGCTGTATCTAAAGCACCAGGTCATTGCTGGCTGCCACTTGGAACAGCATTTCTTACTGGATGTATTAGAGTATGGCAGTGTGTCTTGGGACAGTTTAGGGATTCAGGAGAACATCACTGATGACTTTGAAACCAAAACTCCTGCTTGTAGCTAATGGCAACTGGACCTGGTTGTTTTTTTGTTTTGTATACATCTTTGTTATTTTCCAGTGCCCCCCTCACCATGCCAGAGTCTGTGGAAGCACACCCTGTGTTTCTCCTCCTGTCACCCCTATCTCATGTGTAAACACACACACACACTTTCCTCAGATGTTTGATTTCATGAGCTGAAAGAAAGATGGAGCCGTTCTTCTGTCTAGGAGCATGCTCATGAAGGACCTCTCCACTTTTTCTGTTTAGTGCAGATCTGATTTAGTTTAGCATTTATTCAGCTTCTACCATGTACCAGGCACTTTGCTGAACCTGGGGAAGCAAAACTGGGGAAGAAGTGGTTCTAGCTCTTGCAACGAATAGACAGAAGCCTGTGGTTATCCTTTTTTAAATCGCCTTTTGCGATGGAAGTACAAAAGTTCCTCCCAGATCTGGCCCCCAATGAGTATTTATTTTCTTCTCTCTCATTAAGTATAACATATATTCACAGAGCACCCCAACATGTGGGGTTGAGTTGGTCTTTAGATGTGGTGGTAGAAATGTCCTTTGTGACCTGAAATTCAAGGTGTGACTGGGGATCAGGGCCAGGTTAGGGGATTATTTGCTTTAGTCATAGGCAGCACAGAACACTATGGAAATTCTTTCTTCTTCTTTACCCCCCCCCCCCCACTTATTTTCACAAAGCCTCAGAAAAAAAAATTTTTTGATATATTTTTATTGATTTTTTGAGAGAGAGATGTGAGAGCGATACATCAGTCGGCTGCCTCCTGCACACCCCCATTGGGGATCGAGCCCACAACGCAGGCATGTGCCCTGACTGGGAATTGAACCAGGACCTCTCACTCCATGGAGGACGACAATGTGTTCAGCATGCGCACCGTGCACAGCTGTGCTGGGCCTCTGCATTTGTGCGGTTTGTCCTCTCAGAAAAGACCACAAGTGAGTCTCGTCTTTTTGTTTCAGACAGCCCATTTGAGGATCCTGACCTTAAGGACCCGTATTTCATTTCAAGAAACATCATGGCCGAGCCAGACTATATAGAAGATGACAATCCTGAACTAATCAGGCCTCAGAAACTCGTCAATCCTGTCAAAACATCCCGCAACCATCAAGATCTTCACAGAGAACTTCTTATGAATCAGAAAAGGTAAGATGCTTTCTTGAGCAGAGTTGCTCTCAGGGGGGCTTGTAAGGTAACTAGATTTAATTTTAATTATGTTTACAAAGCTTCAAAGAATTTTTTGTTTCTTAACTATACTTGAGGCTTCCTTATCCCTTCTGGATCCCCGAGCCAGGACGTCCCTCCTTGAAGTGAAGGAGCAGCAGGCGCAGCTGCCGCCACCAGTGTTGCTCATCAGTCTGCAGTGCTGTGTCCCCTTCTCAAACTGATGCCGATTTTAACACATGGGCGGAAGGGTCTGGACTGAGGATAAAAGAGAGTAGTGTCCTAAGTCAAAGAGAAATTTTGTACTTTTCCCTTATATATGTGAATATTGCCTGCGTTAGCATTTGTGAGTAGCAGGTGGAAGTCTCTAGAACCATATCAGTTATTAACAGTAGATAAGAACACTATTTCTTGCTCTGGCCTGTGTGGCTCAGTTGGTTGGGGTGTCGTCCCCTACATCAACAGGTGGCAGGTTCGATTTCTGGGCGGGGCACATATCCAGGTTTCTCGGGTTGATTTCCAGCTGTACAGCTCCCATTTAATGTTTCCTTCTCTCTCCCCCTCTCCCAGCTCTCTCTCTCAAATCAATTTTTTTTTTTTTAAAGAACACTCTTTTTTTTCTTTGTTTTTAAGCAATGTTTTAATTAGCACTATTATCATTTGTATTACTGTTAATTGTTGTGGAAAGGAGTAAAACAGCCCTGGTCGGTTTGGCTCAGCGGTTGGAGCTTCGGCCTGCGGTACAGAGAGACCACCGGGGTTCGGTTCCCGCTAGGGGCATGTACCTTGGTTGCAGTTTGTTCTCTCTCTCTCTCTTCCTCTCTCTCCCTCCCGCTCTATCTGAACAAAACAAAAAAAAAGAAAGGAGTAAAACATTTATCTTCTGTTTTCTTCGTAAACCATTTGTTAGTTCCCCCAATGTCATAAATCATTTTGGATGTTGGATTGGACCACTCTGCTTTTTTTTTTTTTTTTTTTTTTTAATCCTCATCCGAGGACATTTTTCCATTTTTTGTACAGACAGAGTGGGAGGGAGAGAGACGAAGAGAGAGAGAGGGAAACATCGATGTGAAAGGGACACATCGAGTGGCTGCCACCCGCACGACCAACCAGGGCCGGGGACAAACTGCAACCGAGGTACATGCCCTTAGCGGGAACCGAACCCGGGCCTCTCCGGACCGCAGGCGGACGCTCTAACCGCTGAGCCAAACCGGCCAGGGCGGACCACTCTGCTTTTTAAGTGATGCTGGTCAGGACCTGGAGACTGGGAGAACAGAGGGTACAAAGGTATTTTATTCATTAGGATACAAAGTTACCTCCTTTGAGATATGTTAAGCTTCATTTAGAACTGTTTTCAGATCTTCAGAATGAAACAGTTGATCTTTTAAAGGTAATGAGGGGGCTTTTTTTTTTTTTTTTGCTGTATAATACTCAGTTACTTTTTTTTATTGTTGAAAGTATTACAGATGTCTCCCTTTTTTCGCCCTTGACCCCCTCCTTCCTGCTCCTAACCCCCTCCTGCGTTATAAGGGGGTATTTTTATAGCAGTCTTCTCAACTGGACCTCTGGCAGAACTCCTGTTCTAGGAACTCTTTGTAAACACATCCTCCCTCTAGATCACATCCTCCCTCTAGATCACATCCTCCCTCTAGATCAGGGGTAAGGAATGTCTGGCCGGTGGGCCACATTAGACCCGAGAAATCAATACCAGCTAACATCACAGTCTTCACCAAATTAGCCTGACCAAATATTGCAGACTAATTTTTAAGTTGATAATTTTGTATGGCCCTTGAATGGTGTTATAAATATCCAAATGGACTTTGGCAGGATAAATGTTCTGCTTTAGATTGTGGGAATATGACTTACTCCCTTTTGGTCCCAGTGCTCACCAGCATGTTGCTGGGTTAATGTTTAGAAATTGAATGCTCAAGTTTGATCCTTTCATAGTGCTTAGCTTCTACTGGTGTTTGTCACATAAAAGGAAAAAAGTGGATTCATTATCATCATGCCCAAAGTAAAATAGGACTCTATAATTTCCTAAATAGGCCACAGAATTTAGAGACAATTCTGCCTATGTAAGTCTGCATTTTGGGGGAATGATCGAAAATTTAATATACTCCAAGCAGCAGACTGACTGAAGAATCTCAGAGGCAAGGAGGGAGAAGGGGCAGGAAGAGATTAACCAAAGAACTTATATGCATATATGCACTACCCATGCACACAGACAATAGTGTGTTGAGTTCCTGGGTGGGGAGTGGCGGGGTGGAGGGGATCAATGGGGGAAAAATGAGGGGACATCTGTAATACTCTCAACAATAAAGATAATTTTTAAAAGAGTAGCTAAATGGTTTTCTAAACTAAATGGTTTTCTAATTATCTTTACCTCTTAGACTTCAGTTCCCATATCTGAACTGAGTAGGGGATTTGAATGGAGTAGGCAAAGGTAAAACCAAAATTGGCAGAATAGCTGTTTTCTGAATTATAGGCTACAAATTATTCGCAAAAATTTATTCAGTAGCCTAGGTCATATCTCTGTAAAATATGTAGGATTGTACAATTGGATCTGTTGCCAAATATTTTAGAATAAGCAGTTTCTGTGAAAATGGAACACCCTCTGTCTGACTTTCTCTGGGTTATGCTTTCTTTTCTTTGTTTGCACAGGTGACTCTTTAGCCAGTCCCAGCTCAACTAATTTAGGAGAATGCTGGTGTTTCCTCAAGTACCATGGGGTAGAGAGGATGTGGGCTTTGAAGTCAGAGAGAAGTGACTTCATGATCTTGGACAAGGTTCCCTTTCTTGAGATCTGTTTCTTCATATATAAAATAGGAAGAAAAAACATCTTACAAAAATGAAAGTAAATAATAGCATGTATAAATACCTATTACAATGCATGTAGTAAGTGCTCAATTAGTCCTAACCATCTTTTACTTTCTTTGTAGTGTCATCTGGAAATTCCCATTGCTTTCCCCCCCTTCTTCTTTGAAAAGGTCTGGTCTGGCTATAGAAGTACACTTTGAAAAATAAAGAAAAAGGCAGATTTCAAAATCAAATGAATGTCTCTTATGTCTTCAGGTTTTTCAATGTACAATCTTAGTTTGGTAGGGTCCTCTTATTAGAAATACAACTGGTTTTTATTATTATTATTTTTGTATCCTCACCCGAGGACATTTTTCCATTTTTTGTTCAGATAGAGTGGGAGGGAGAGAGAGGGAGAAACATCGATGTGAAAGGGACACATCGAGTGGTTGCCACCCACATGACCCATCCAGGGCCGGGGACAAACTGCAACTGAGGTACGTGCCCTTAGCGGGAACCGAACCCGGGTCTCTCTGGACCTCAGGCTGACGCTCTAACCGCTGAACCAAACTGGCCAGGGCTACAACTGATTTTTAGAGTGAAAACTCCTCAAGCAATTTCTTCTTTTATTCATTTTCTATCACATATACGTTTTGGAGACTATGGGGTTTTCATTTCTAAATTTTAATGCTGGAAAATAGAAAGTATCACATCACTATATATATATTTGGTTAAAGGGTAATTATACTTGATTACTGGTTTTTACCATAATGAAAGTCTCTTTACTTTCTATAATTTGTAAAGGGCCTTTCCATATATTTTTTTGTCCAATCCAGTGATCTTTCCAGTGATCCAGTGTGTGTTATCTTAGGGTTACCCTACTTTGACATGTTAATAAGAAAAAACTCAGAGTAACAAGCTAAGGGATCCTCTCAAGATTTCACATTAGTTTTTTTAAATAAAAAGGGTAGACATAAACATAGAATTAAAGAGTTTAAATTAAAGGCAGAGATTAAACAAATATAGTAATAATAAAAATTAGAAAAGGGATCAGGAAATGAGAGGAAGACAGAAATGAGAGCAACACAAAACAAGCTTTCCATTGGAGCCCTGGACCTTTGCCCTCTATGGCCAAAAATTTGGCTCAAAGCCCTGTAGCAGTTAGTTCAAAGAGTTTTTCGAGTTACTCTTTAGAGATCATAAGATAAAAGCAAACTACTTAGGAGAACAAATACTCTACTTCATAGGTCTTCTAACTGAAATCTAAGCTCTTTAAAGTACATGATTCTCTTCTCTTTGCTATCTTTTGGACCAGCTAAGGTTCAGGTTAAAAGTTTTTACATTTCAATCTGCTCTCAGTTTGCCACAAGGTCTGATTAAGAGCATTTTCAGATTCTTAGATTCTATAGGTGTTCCCCTATAACATAACAAGGGCAGATTCTAAGAGGCAGGTTTAAAAAAATTTTTTTTTTTCATTGATTTCAGAGAGAGGAAGGGAGAGAGAGAGAGAGAGAGAGAGAAGTAGAAACATCAATGATGAGGAAGACATCAGTTGGCTGCCTCCTGCACACCCCATAATGGGGATTGAGCCTACAACCCAAGCATGTGCCCTGATCGGGAATCGAACCAGGGACCTCCTGTTGCATAGGTTGATGCTCAACCTCTGAGCCACACTAGCCTGGCAAGAGGAAAGTTTTTGTTTTGTTTGTTTAAAGTTGAAAGATTAGCCCTGGCCGGTTTGGCTCAGCGGTTAGAGCGTCGGCCTGCGGTACAGAGAGACCCGGGTTCGGTTCCCGCTAAGGGCGCGTACCTCGGTTGCAGTTTGTCCCCGGCCCTGGTTGGTCGTGCGGGTGGCAACCACTCGATGTGTCCCTTCACATCGATGTTTCTCTCTCTCTCTTCCTCTCTCTCCCTCCCGCTCTGTCTGAACAAAAAATGCAAAAATGTCCTCGGGTGAGGATTAAAAAATAAAAAAAATAAAGTTGAAAGATTAGTGTTTAAGAGGTTTTAAAAATATTTCTGTGATTTAGGTTCTGTCGTCTCTGCAAGAATAGTTTTGGGGGGCAAATATGGAATACCCAGCTATTCAAACACATTCCTAAAATTTGTTCTTTGGCTTGTACAATCAGTGGTTTTTATTCTCTCTTTGTTTTTTAAAATGTTTTTATTGATCGTTTTTTTTAGAGAGAACTAGAAACATTGATGTGAGAGAGAAACATTAATCAGCTGCCTCTTGCACACCCCCCACTGGGGATTGAGCCTGCAGGCCAGGCATGTGCCCTGACCAGGAATCAAACCAAGACCTCCCAGTCCATGGGACGACGCTCAATCCACTGAGCCACACCAGCTGGGCTATTCTCTGTGTTTTTAGTTGATATTCATATCTTCATTTGGCATGCTTTGCTAGACGAGCATTTCCTCAATAAATACTGCTGTACAACATTGAAAAATACAGGAAATTGAGATAAAAATATTTGCATTTGAATACACGCAGGTAGAAATAGTTCAGTCACAAATGTAGGCAAGGCAGGCGAGGGTGGAGGAGCCTAGACTACACTGCTATCTCTGGGTCCATGGGGGCAGGGCCTCGACCATGCTCAGTTTTCCGGGCCACCATTCACACAGAAAATTCCAAGATTAAAGATCAAGGATTTGAAGTCCAAATGCACCCTCCACCTCCACCCTAAGAAAAAAATTAGGCCAGGAGATGTTTGGCTGGGTGGGCAGGGGAGCATGTTCTGTTAGGATCTGTCCAGCCCTCGCCTCTAGCTCAGGCCTCTGAGGTGAGGAGGCAGTTTCACTTTTATGGGTTCAAGTGAATCTGGAGTGGATGTGCACCCTTTCTGTCAGCCCCGGGGTGTATTCAGTGCTTTATGTGAATTGTAAAATGTGCCTCTAAGAGTTGTCTGTATATTTTATCACTGGTGATGGAAATATAAAGTGCTGTGGCCTTTTGGGGGGGGGGGGGGGCAGTTGGGCAATATACATCGAAATATAAAATACAGACGTTTAGCCAGCAATTCTACTTCTGTGAATATAGCCAACAGCAATACTTACATAAGAATGCAAATATGAATGTGTAAGGAAGGTCATTGCCTCACTACTTTTAATAGGGAACTATTGGAAGCAACCTAAATGCATATCAATATGAGAGTGGCAAATTTATGGCACGTCTGTATTGTGATGTCTTGTGCACATGTTAAGAAGAACAAGAAAGAGCTTTGTTTGTAAAGGGGTAGAAAGGGTGGAGGAGCCTAGACCACACTGCTATCTCTGGGTCCATGGGACCAGGCCTCTACCTTGTTCAGTTTTCCGGGCCACCATTCGCACAGAAAAAAATACAACGTTAAGTGGTGCTTTCAAGATCTGTGTAATAAGGAGAATTCAGGTGTGCTTTCACTTTTTTTTCTTTTCTTTTTTTAAATCCTCACCTGAGGATATTTTTCCATTTTTGTTCAGATAAAGTAGGAGGGAGAGAGAGAGAAACATCAGTGTGAGAGGGACACATTGACTGGTTACCTCCTGCATGACCCCAACCAGGGCCAGGGACGAACCACAACCGAGGTATGTGCCCTTGACTGGAATCAAACCTGAGACTCACTGGTCTGAGGACCAACGCTCTAACCGCTGAGCCAAACCAGCCAGGGCTGTGCTTTCACTTTTTATTTTACATATATGTATATGTTTCCTAACCTATTTTTGTGCAAGGAGCACTTATTAATCTTAAAAATTGGCTTAACCCACTATAATAGTCACAGCATGCAGGCTCAGAAGTAACTGTTGGTCTTGAGTGGTACAAAGACCTCAGGACTTAGCACCTGTCAGTCGTAGAGGGATTAAAAGTACTTGTTAATTGTATACGTCAGAATTGATGAAAGAGAATCAACTGTTGTCACGCACAGAACGATATTGTAGTTTTTACGAAATTTTGAGAAGCTCATTTCTCTTTTCCATGTGACCCAGTTTTAGACTCAGAGATTCACACAGGCAGTATCTGCTTGACTTTTTCCATTCAGCACAGATTAAGTGATCGGCTATGATAAAATATTAACTAAATTTGTATGACTTCTCAACTGTTCCAAGTGCAGAACATTTATCATAGGAGCACCATTTCCTGAGCTTTCTGTTTCTAAATATTTTATCTTAACTGCCTCCATTGTGTAAAATCTTTGAATAGAAAATGAATACTGAATATTAATTAAACCCATTCATATGTTGGGATAGAATATCAGCTTAGTGTGTCATACATCAAAGTTTGTTCAATTGCTTTTGCATAATCCAGAAGAATTTAATAACAGTTGAGGTCAATTTTGCCTATGAAATACAGCAAAAGAAAAATGTTTGAAATTTAAATTATGCAGATAGCTAAATCCTTAATCCTAAAATTTAAATCCCTGAAGTTTGTCTGTAGTGTCATAGAGATTTTTTGATATTCATGAAACTGAGTGGGTAATGAGATTATTTACAAACAAAGTTTCCTGTTTGTTCAATGACACTTAGGTTTATTGACAATAACCATGAGCAATGTTTACTGTGTTAATTAAAGATTTAATTTTCAGAATAGTCTGTTTATACATTTTGTCCCCCCCATACAGCCTTAGTAATTGTGAAACCATTATTAAATCACAAACAAAAGTAACCTGTCTCTTTTGTTTTATTGGACATTTGGTTGAATTTAATGCCTGCCTGCCTCCCTCCCTTCCTCCCTTCCTTCCTCCCTTCCTTCCTCCCTCCCTCCCTCCCTCCCTCCCTTCCTTCCTTCCTTCCTCTCTTTCCTTCCTTCCTTCCTTCCTCTCTTTCCTTCCTCTCTTTCTTTACCAAAAGTTTTGCTAATGAAATTGGGAAAGAGGAGACATGTTATTTTGACTATGTGTCCTTTATTTTCAATGACAGAATATACTGATCTTCCGTAAACAACTGAAAAAAATAATTGTGATTTTTAAAAGTATGTAGCTTGGAGAGATGCTAGCATTTTAAGATTATAACTAAATAAATGAGGAAGTAAGATATTAAGGATTAGTTTACAGATGTGACAGTGTGAACTTGAAAGAAATTGAGACCAGTGTGTGGTTGAGATTCTTATAACCAGAGTACACATTTTGGAAGTTTACTTTATTTAACAGTTATTCAGATGATTAGTTGATTAGTCGCATTTCTTGATTCAAGTTGTTTGGAGAAAAGCCATCGAGGTAGACATCCCTGATGTACAGACTGGCCGTTGTCATTAGCAAGACCAGGAAGTGGTGGAAGGTGCACTGGCCCATCTCAGTCCAAGGTTTTCAGCAGCAGAAAAGCCCGAGTTACTGTTCGGTCAAGTACATGTGTGTGAATGCATGAGTGTGAATTCGCTAACCATCATTTACACCCTTTGCTCCCCGAGATTGACGGTACTTTTACTGTTCTGTGGTTTGTTTCATTTTCATTTTAAATGCTCTTAGTAAATATTACTATTAAGTGGAAATTATATAAGAAGTAGTGGAGACTGGCTGAAATGCTAGGGAGTGGTCTTTCCTTGACTTGCCACAGACTTCTAAGATGGAGGGTTGCTAGGCCTAAGTTTTGGTTTTGTTTCTCCCCATTTGAAGACATGGTAGCCTAAGTTATCCCTCAGAAATGTTGGACTTCCCTGGAGCCTGACTGCCGTGCATTGTCAGAAGTCAGCCATGCGTCTGAAATGGTTCAGCTGCAGGGATCACTAGGCTGGGAGTAGGGGGCTCAGAGTTCTACATGGCCAGTGATGATGAAACCTTGGACATGCCTTTATACATGAAAGAACCTCCTACAAATCTGGAACTTTGGCCATTTTCCTGTTTAAATTTCTGGGGAAGCCATCTCATGCCCATGTCCATCTTGGTGGTCGTCACACCCATCGAATGAGCATGATACTGTTCCCTACCTTCCCCGGCCCACCCCACCCCCACTAACTTCCTTTGTATAGCCTAGTGTCTGGCCCTCCAAATGCTTTTATTCAGTGAACGGATTTTGCTTACTTTTGGAAGGTTCTCTTGCCCTTTCTCCCATGCTTGTGAATTTCCGAGACCGCCAGTGTTGACTGTTAGCTGGTAATAGGGGTCACAGTCATGCTAATTCATTAGACCCCTCTTCTGTGGCTGATGAGTTAAATTTCTATTTATAAAAGAGGTGTCCATTAGATTACAACTTTTTTATTTTGTTAATGCTTTTTTTTTTGCAGGGGTCTTGCCCCTCAGAATAAGCCGGAGCTGCAGAAGGTAATGGAAAAGAGAAAACGAGATCAAGTAATAAAGCAGAAGGAAGAAGAAGCACAGAAGAAGAAATCTGACTTGGAAATAGAACTATTAAAACGGCAGCAGAAGTTGGAGCAGGTAGGGGTGACTGGGGAGAAAGTGGTTGTTTTTGTTTTGTTTTTTTAAATACTCACCCAAGGATATTTTTTTGTTCATCTTCAGATAGAGTGGGAGGGAGAGAAAGAGAGAGAGAGAGAAACATTGACATGAGAGGGACACATCGACAGGTTACCTCCCGCACGACCCCAACCAGGGCCAGGGACAAACCGAAGTATGTGCCCTTGGCTGGAATTAAACCCCTGACTCATTGGTCCAAGGGCCAAGGCTCTGCTGCTGAGCCAAACCGGCCCAGGTGAAAGTGGTCGTTTTTTATTGAACTGTATTTGACATACAACATTGTAAGTTTAAGGTATACAGCATATTGATTTGGTATATTCATGTTGCAATGTGGTTGCCATGGCACCCTTAGCTGACACCCCTGTTATGTCACATAATTATCCTTTCTTCTATTGCTGAGACCAATTAAGATCATCTCTTATCAAGTTTAATACTTATGATACAGTTTTGTTGACTATAATGACTATACTGTGCATTGGATCTCCAGGGCTTTTTAAAAATCCTCATCCCAGGATATTTTTTCATTTATTTTCAGACAGAATGGTGGAAGGGGAGAGAGAAAAAGAGAGAAACATTGATGTGAAAGAGATACATCGACTGGTTGCCTCCTGCACAACCCTGACCAGGGTTGGAGACCAAACCACAACCAAGGTATATGCCCTTGACTGGAATCGAACCTGCGACTCTTTGGGCTGTGGGACAATGCTCTAACCACTGAGCCAAACGAGCCAGGGCAGGTCTCCAGGAAATGGGGTAAAATACATTCAAGGTAAAGTCTAGAATTCTCTTGTAGACCTAGAAGAGACTCAGGAGGTAAAGCCAAAACCAGGGGCTGTCACTGAATTCATAGCAATGTTGAGAGCTCAAGTACTTAAGCGAAATTTAACTTCACTGAGGGTGCAGGGCAACTGTGTTGATCACAGTTGGATCTTGTCTTAACCTTGATTTTTAGATTCTCATCATCTCTTGGTATTGCTCATAGTAACAAGTCATCAGCTGCTGCTCCTGTGCAGAATTACCCCAGGACATACTAATTTTTCTGTTTCTGAATTTTATTTAGCTTGAACTTGAGAAGCAGAAACTGCAAGAAGAGCAAGAAAACGCCCCAGAATTTGTGAAGGTTAAAGGCAATCTTAGGAGAACAGGCCAGGAAGTGGCCCAAGCCCAGGAGTCGTAGGCCTACACCTCAGAGACCACACTGAAGCTGTGAGCAGGCGCCTCCTTCACACCTGAGCTCAGGGCAGAAGCCCCTGGGGAACATTCCAGCCAGCAGAGAGTTGTTGCTTAAAAAAGGACTTGTCTTGGTTCACCCCCAGCCTGGGTGGGTAAATTACTGTGACAGTTGCAGTTCCTATTCGCCAAACGAAGGACGTTGACCAGCACTTAAGTTGGGATATGGACCTGTGTTCAAAGACTTAAAAACAAACAAACAAACAAACAAAAAACCGACCAACAAGAAAAGGAAGAGGACACTGGAGTAAATTCTTGAGAGTTGCACTGCTTGGTTTTTCTTCCGAACCAAGTTTAGTGGGGCACAGAGCCTTTTTCTTTTAAAACCTAAAGAAAATTTGTTTCATTCTTCCTTTAGTTATCTGTTAGATAATTTAGGTCACATAGAAATACATTTTATCTGTTATAGTCAATATTCATCCATTGTTTTGAGAACCCAAAATGTTCTTGTTTAATTTATACCTTCACCCGTGTTAGGATTTACACCTGAGAATGTTGATGTTAATGTTGAGCACAGCTACAGCCTTGATTAACATTAGTAGGCTGGGAAGGTTAAAAATATATAAACAAGCATATGTAAACAAGCATACGTAAACAAAAATATGTAAACAGCCATCTTGATCCTATTTTAATTCCTTTTCATTATGCTCCATGGTAATATTCCAGTTCAGAGAAGGCACATTATAAATCCACTTATTGCTTTGATAACTAGTAGGGGTTTTTTTGTTTTTTTTGTTTTTCTTGCTGAGCTGGTCCTTTTATATGAAATAATCTAATTATCCTTTGAAGAATTAAAGCTAGTCCACATAACCCAACTTCAGTGTCAAAAGTAGAGGGTCCAAATCTTTTGATTTCTTTTGAGAGCAATGTGGGGAACACTCCCATTGGGAGCCTAGAAAGGAGGAGTTCTTTGAGTATTTAAATGTGAAGCAAATATAGATTGGTCTCAAGAGGCCTAGTTGGAAGATCCATAGCATTTGTACATGTTGAATGTTACCCATTTCTTTGCTTTTATTTTTTTTCTTGAGAAGCAAGACTGTTTTCCCGCTCTCTTAGTTATGATGATGCTGTTGATAACGATGACGCTAATGACTACTGTATTGCATCTCAGGAAAAGCCAAGGTGAAGGGAGAAGCTGCTCAGTTTTCACACTCTAGCTAGCAAGCTACTCAAAGCGAAACCCAAATCACCAATGACAGCAGAGTCCTTAGGCAGAATCCATTTTATACTGCTGGTGTAGTACACGCGACTTGGGGTAGTCCAGAGAATTTGTGTGCATTCAGTATGTTCTCCATAGAGACGATTCAGCTAGTAATTTCTACACTGAAGACTCTTCTTATAATTCCCATAAAGGCTAGTAGAAAGCTGGATTCTAAGCTTCTGAATCCTTAATAAGCATAGTAGAAATTGGCTTTCTGTGGGAATGCTTTAGTTTTCATAGCTGATGATTAGGCTCACATTCAATCTCAGTGTGAACAAGACATAAGTAAATGCAGTGATCATATCCTGCTGGTTCAAGAATATGTGGATTACACCTGAAATGGATGATTTCTCTCATCAGCAAGTATTATTTGAATAAAATAGGAGGTGCTTAAGATAAGATAGTGCTCTATTATAGTTTGCTTTTGAAGGATGGAATGGTAACTATTTTTATCATCGCTTTTCCTTTTGAGAGAAAGTATGTTAACTGATCATCTTGAAAGTACATTTCTGATTGCACATTGACTGGAGTTCTTTCTTTGTGCATATGACTAACGATGTGATTTGTAAAATGAGGATTCAGGACTGGCCCATACATAGCCTCTTACTGCATGTCAGACCTTTAGATCCTGTGTCCTTGAAGCGATTCTGCCACTCGGTAAAATTCTCAGGGGCTCTGACAGGCTCCTTTGGAAGGACCAGTTCTATTCCTAGAACTTACCTAGAATTCATTCTTCACTGGGAAAAAAATTAATTACAAAAGCATTTTCTTCCCACTCATTCACAAATCTGAATTCCTTGTAGTTAGTAGTACAAGGTCTGGCCAAAAGAAGACTTGTAAATAGCATACAGTGATGTCTTACGACTTACACGTAGAGAAGCTCTTTGAAGCCATCAGATCAGATCAGCCCACAGGCCTGAGTCGAAAAAGGCATCAGTCTCTCCGGCGCTTTAATATGGAACAGTACAAACCCCTAGGACTTGTGAACATCGAGCAGTTTTGTGCTTTGAGCCCCTTTTTGACAAAAATGGCTCCATTTTTCCACTCTCTGGTTTTTTTAAACTAGTTCAGTGTTTTATAGTCTCCTAGTAGTAAAATAATGTTGCTTTCTAAGCTATAACAGTTGACTTTATTCTTCTACTCAAAAAAATCTTGACTTGTTTGAGTGTATATAATATATATAAAGGGAGCCTTAATGGATTTGTTTTCATAATTTAATATTTTTTGTATTTGCTCTTGTATAATTTTTAATGGAAAGTATTACAGAATTGAGGGTGGAATTCTTAGAACCAAAGTTATTCTTAATAAAAATCACCACATGCTTGGACCACGCAGCTGTGTTTGTCTAATGTGTTTAAAATGGATGTCTGGCCCTGGCAGGTTTGGCTCAGCAGTTAGAGTGTCGGCCTGCGGTCCAGAGAGACCCGGGTTTGGTTCCCGCTAAGGACACGTACCTCGGTTGCAGTTTGTCCCCGGCCATGGTTGGTCATGCGGGTGGCAGCCACTCGATGTGTCCCTTTCACGTCAATGTTTCTCTCTCTCCTTCCCACTCTATCTGAACAAAAAATTGAAAAAAATGTCCTCGGATGAGGTTAAAAAAAAATTACCTCAAATCCTCTGGCCATGTGTGAATGAGTGAAGGGATACCACTTAAAGAATAGAAAATTATATTTGTTCATAAGTTGGGTCGTGCAGGTGGCAGCCACTCTATGTGTCCCTTTCACGTCGATGTTTCTCTCTCTCTTCCTTCCACTCTATCTGAACAAAAAATGGAAAAAAAAAAAGTCCTCGGGTGAGGATAAATAAATAAATAAATAAATAAAATGGATGTCTGGCCCTGGCCAGTTTGGCTCATTGGTCAGAGTGTGAGCCTGGGGATCGATTTGTTCAAGGGCATCTACCTAAGTTGCAGGTTTGATCCCCAGCCCTGGTTATGCAGGAGACAGCCAATTGATGTGTCTCTCTCACACTGAGTTTTCTCTCTTTCCTTCCCTCCCTTTCACTCTCTCTAAAATCAGTGGAAGAATATCCTCAGGTGAGGATTAAAAATAATAAAAATAATAAATAAAATAAAATGGATGTCTAGAACTGAGGGGAAGGGGGGAAGGTAGGCTGTGTTCAGTTCAAAGATCAGAAGGTGGTTCTAGGGTATCCCTTTGGTGGCTGTCCTTGAGAGCCTTGCCCCCAAATCAGGTATGTCCTCTGTGTCAGTCCAAGACCGACAGTTTATTATATGAAATTCACGTTAAGGTATCATGCTACACTTTGTGTAGAATATATGGTATTTTAGCAGCAGCTGTCAGTACTACAGATCAAAGCATTCTGAATTTTAGGTAGCTTGGTAGGACAGTAGAAGATTCATTTTGGGAAGGAACATTTTTTAGTGCTTGTGAACTAGTACACCTGTTATGTCTGAAGTGTGACCATAAAATTATTTTGTGTATACAGCAAAATTAATATAATCCTCAAAGAAGTTACTTTAGGGAACTATACACATGATTTATTATACTACTGGTCAAATTCATTTGGAGGTTTTCATCTCTTTACTTTTCTCAGCCCAAATGATTACTGAGCTTGATCACCTAATTTCTAGTATCTTTGGACTATTTTTTTTGAAAGTCAAATCTACTCAGGGCAGTAAAGCTTTGCTACCTCTAAGGTTATACTGTGAGTTCTAAAGGCCAGCACAGAAGATGTTTCGAGAAATAATGTGAACAGTAGCTGCTTCCTTGAAATAACTAGGCAGTTTCACAAGGTGACAGCTTTGAGGCAGTTAGTCCATTTCATTGGGCCCACGATGTTTGTTGCTTATAGTAGTAGATTTGAAAGGAGACAGGGGAATTCATGTGTTTGGTAAGACTTGAAATGCTATATAGTATAACTATGAGTATTAGAATATTATTGCCAGGCTTACATTTACTAGTATAATGAGAAACGAAGTGTTTTCTTTCTGAGGTCTGAGGGTAAATAAAATCTTTATGAGCTAGCCTCATAATTATAGTTTCTCCTTTTTTTTATCCTCATGAAAAAATGCATTCTGATTATCAGTTGGGGATGTTGCACCTAGATTTCCTAGCAAGATGGTAGTTGCTGGTAAAAATGGCCCTTGGTTATTTATGGAAAGTATGTTGATTGCTACTGGGATGTGATTGCTCCCAGGCCCCTCCAGGTTAGGAAATATTGTGTGTGTATCAGTGTAAATATGTATTCATACATTTGCATTGATATTTAGTTATATTTCTAGCTACTGAAAACCATTAGTTAATAGTGATATCTCCAGTTCTAACCCAATAGCACATTCGAGCTTTCCTCCTTTCCGTATTTGTAGCTCCCTTTTCTAGCAGCGGAAGCCAAGCTGCCACCCTCCTCCATGTTCTGACTTATCTTTTGTTGTTGTTGTTAATTCTCACCAGAGGATATTTTTTCATTGGTTTTTAGAGAGAATGGAAGGGAGGGAGGAAGAGAGAGAAAAACGTTGATGTGAGAGAAACACATCAATTGGTTATCTTCTGCAGGACCCCGACCAGGGCCCGGGATTGAATCTGCAACCCAGAAACGTGCCCTTGACCAGAAATCGAACCCAAGATCCTTTAGTCCTCAGGCTGATGCTCTAACCAGTGAGCCAAATTCGCCAGGGCCTTGCCTTCTCAGTCTTGTATGTGACCCATCTCCTGACTGCTCAGCCACCATCCTCACTCTGGCCTTGACTGAATTACTCAGAAGGGAAAGAAGAAAACATCATTTTTTTTCTTGAGCATTTAAACATTTTTTTTATTAATATAATTAAACTGCCTCAAGCAACATAAATTGTAGTTACAGATTGAATATACCTGATTGTGTTAAACTTTTCAAACTCCTTAAATAACACATGAACCACGCTTGAAGTATGAGTCAGGGTTCTCCAGAGAAACAAAGCCAATGGGAAATAGGTATATAGGAAAGGTATATATAAATATATGTATAAAACAAGATTTATTCGAGAAACTGGCTCGTGCCGTTATGTAGGCTGAGAAGTCCCATGATCTGCATCTGTAAACAGACCCAGGAGAGCAAGTGGTGGAGTTAAGTCTGGGTCTGAAGACTGAGAACCAGGGGAGCTGATGACGTGAATCCTAGTGTGAGGGCAGGGGATGACCGATGTTCCAGCTTTGCGGTCAGGCAGAGAGAGCAGAACCTCCCTTCCTCTGCCTTTTTGTTCTGTTTGGCCTACCCACAGAGAGGGCCATCCCAGTGAGTCCACCAGTCAGTTCAAATGCCGGTCTCATTGGAAACACCATCCAGACACACCCAGACGTAATGCTTTATCTGGACACCCTGCGGCCTGGTCAAGTCAACGCATAGCATTAATACAATTGAATACAACAATAAGCACATTTTAAAAAATCTGTTTTACAAATCAGCTTTTGAGCTTGAAAATGTTCAATTTTTTTACTTTAAAAATACTTCCGTACAATTATGGCCATATATATATATATATTATTATTACCATATCTCCCTAGGGATTCAGTATACTTTATTATTTTTCCTGGGCTTGTAGTAATTGTACCAAGCCTTAAAATAAACAAAAACAAAAGACAAATGAATACTTGCTCAGACTAAGAGAACATAATCTGGTAATCTGAGTTGTTGACTGATTCTTAATTAGAGCATGAAGCCTGGGTACACTGTCCACGCTGATTCCACCATGAGTCACAGCCCTTGGGTAAGTCCTTTTATGGGGGGTGGGAGGGTAGGGGAGAGGTATGTCCTTTTATAATTCTTATTTGCTTTGTCATGGGATTTAAAATATCTGGCCATTTATATTACTTTAATTTTTTGAAGTGTGATGTAATTCCCAGGAATTAGTTGTGCTTCAATTTTGCATGGCCAGCATTACCTCATTGTCCTGCCTTTATGATACATTGGTCTTGTTCATTAGCATTACTGAGAACAGGTATGCTTTATATAATTAGTAGGATGATATTGAGATTTCATCTACTAAGAGTCAGCAAGTTTGTGTGGTGAATTCTTTGGTTTGAGACATTCAGCTATTGTCTTGAACATACTATTGGGTCCCTTTAAATTCGTTATTATTATTGATCAACTGGACTTCTTTTCTACTTGGTTATTATATGTAACCACTGATGGTGATCAGTCTTCTTCTTGTACTATAGTTTTCTAGTTTCTTTATGTTTCACATTTCCTGTGTTTCTTCTTTCCTGTATACATAGCTAGAAATAAGATGTGCCCATAATTTATAAAAATGTATATTCTTAATAGAACAAGCTAACTACCCTCATATACAAATATTCCCTTAAATATATACTATAGTCATCCTTATTTTGTATTACAATTTCTTTTTCTCTTTAGTATCACACATCTGTGGCCTTTTATATATTCAACTTAAATTTTTCATCTTTTTTTTTTAGATGCTCAGAATATTAAAACTCAGCTAGCAGAAGCTCTTCAAGATGACTTCTTTTTTCTTAATTTTTTGAGTTTTATAAAATATTGCTTCTAACGGTTATGAAAGCATCCTTATTTTGTTGCAACCATAGGATGTTTCAGAGTATCCTATGTTTTTTCCTGACATAGACATAGGACTACGTGCCTCTCAAGGAGTACTGGTTCCTCTTGATGGGGAACAGAAATAAAGGTCATGGTCTCCATGAGGTTCACTGGACAGTTGCTGGTGGACAAAAGTGCTCCTGCACTTTGAGTAGTAATAGAGTTAAGGGACATGAAGCTGCCCTGACTTTTCCATTTTAACCCCTGATGTGGCTCTACCTTGTATTTATTAGAGCATGAGTACTACTGAACCAGAAACCTTTTCATTATACTTACAAAGATTTTTCTGAGAGATTTTCTTTTAAAACAGGAATTATGAAAGTGGACTTGCCTGACCAGATACCAAAACACACTTTCAAGCAATTGTAATGTACCTGGGTTGATATTGGCCCAGAGTAGACAAATAGATCAATAGAATGGAATCAAGTCCAGAAAGAGTCATTTACATAACTGAAATTTAAGATTGAGGTGGAATTTTATTTCAAATTTGTTACAAAAGGATAAACAATACAATGAAAGGTTTTGGGGCCATTAGAACCAAACAGATCTGTGTTCCTCTATTTTATACCATATGTAAGACTAATTTCCAATCTGTTAAAGTGCTTAGCATAAGAATAAAACTATAGAAGTATTAGAAGAAAATATAAGAGAATATTTTTTATAATCCTGGGAGTGGGAGAGGCTTGTCTAAACAAAACATCTAACCCAAAATCTATAATGAAAAAAAACTGACAGATATAGCTCATGAAAATTAAACTTTTTTTTGTATTAAAAAAAGGTTAGAAGACAAGTAACAGACTAAGGTATATTACATATGTGACAGCAAATGAATACTACCTATA